CTTATATTTATCATAAAAATATAAATATGTATTAAACATATCATAAATAGCATATACATATTGTATTTATATATTATATTATACATACTATATTTTGTATATTATACATATTTATATATATATATAGTATATATATTAAATATACTATACAATACAAATGTATTTTATTTTACATCGGTAATACCCCCCCCCCCCCATGGCAGCGTGTCGGTGGAACCTAGCACGATATACCGCTTATTGTCGTGCGGATTTAGAACGATTTTTGTTATCGTGTACATCTGATTTCTGATATCGTGTACATCTCGTGTATGTTGGATCTTATGCACGACTATCTGCACGTCATTTCGATTGTGTCATTCCAGCACCGCGTGTAATCCTTGAACGTTATAGACCTCGCTACAATATTGCTCTTGACACCCTTTGCCTTCTTCGTATCCTTCTTTCCTTCTACACACAAGGCATACATTTTCGTTCGAAGCCCAACAAATTCGGTTATATTGGCACCGTTGTTCTTGTCTTTTATAAGGTCAGAAACTTTTTTATTTACGAGCGGAATGCCGTACGCATTGTTGCTCGAGTAATTGCTCGTGTCAAATCTACTTATATCGCGTATGATATCGTAGACACATCGTCACATTTTATATGATATACTCGTATGAGGCTATCGATATCAGTATCGATATACATAATTTTGCATTTTTCGCGGAACAGCGATGCTATGTATTCGTGGTGAAATTTGTACAAACACGTCTTGGATACGTCGAGGATGCACATATCCACGTATATCAAACTTCACCTCGAGCTTACGCAGTTCTATCGCGACCAGATTCTCCGAAAAGATGCTACGGCTGTGGAAATTGGTTTCGCAATCATTGCCTCAGCACCGTATCTGCCTTCTCATTGTATTAATAACTTTACGTCGACGCGATCGCGTGCGTTCTCCATGGTTTTGTCAAATACCGCATTATTCATAAGTTTGTATAAATTTTTTTCAAAATCATTTTTGGCTAAAGTTCTAAATTTTGTGTTTAATTCTATATAATCGCGTAGCCATGGAGATTGTGTGAATTGCAATATATGCCTATATAATATAAACCTTTGTGATACGAAGATCGTGGCGAGTACACTGCTGCAGGTTACGATAATGTATGACGTTACGCTGTTTATCGCATAATATTGCAAGGAGCTTGTTATCGCGCTTGCCGGGTGGTTTCTCGCGCGTCGGACAGAATGGTAGGTCAGTGTGTGCGTCATGAAGATGTTGTACGTATACTCCGCGTCTATCTCGAGAATATAGCCAGTTGCCGAATCTAACGCGATAACATTCGCATAAACTTTAAAAATATTTGTATAAAATATTAATGTTACATCTGACATTTTTTAATTTTTTTGTTATTTATTTTTTTCATTATATACATATTAGTACATAATAAATCACAGTTTACTTAGTAAATAATAAAAAGATATAACATTATTTTTTGAAATATAAACATATTTGAGTAAAATGAGTGAATGAATACTTGAGAAAAATAGCACAAACAATACTATTTTCTAACATATTAGCTTATTAAATTGTTTGAACATTTGTCTTAACAAAAAAATTTTTTTTATTTATTATAGAAATTTATATTATAGAAATTATAGAAATTTATTATAGAAACTATAATAGAAGTCTCTTAGATAACTGATTAATTTATATATTAAAGAAATTATTAACTGTGCAACAAAAAATTTAATATTCCTTTATCTAGACATTTCTAGATAACACAGGCACACCAGAATATCATAGTTTAATCTCCGTATCAAATATTAAATTTTGTCTTGTGTGCCTGTGCAATTAATCGGTCTACGAGTTATTCATATGGTCCATTAAAATTTCCATAATTTTCTTTCGCAGCATTGATTTTTTAGTTCCTCATCTTGTAATTCCTTAAAAATCAAATTTGTTAAAATATGATTTTTTCTGCCATTTTGTTTCTCTTCAACTTGATTAGAGAGTGGAATTATTGATGAAGAAACAGCTTCAAAAGAATCTATAAAGCAATCAACATTCGTATTTCCGCTAGGTATGTTATGTTTAAAAGTGCTTGATGTTGATCTTGAAGATGTATTAATTTATGGAGAAATTGATGAAGTTGATTCGTAGGGTTGTTTTTGTGTAGAGGTTGACGCGGTTGCAAATTACAGAGCTTATATGTAACCAAATTGGAAGAAAAACATTCTTTTTGTATAAATAAAATATCAAGAAACAACATGGAAATAAGTTTTTCAATTTATAATACTGAAAAAAATCTTTTCTTAGAATTTCTCTTATTTGTGAATTCTGAAATATCCTTAGATTTCCCATTCTATAATTTCTGAAAACATACCTTCAACTTTTCCAAATTTTATAAAATTTTATCAGAAATTTTCGAAATCTTAGAAATTTCAAAATACACTGGGCAACAAAATTAACGCAACACCTGTTCACTCTGCAAAAATAGGCAAAATTCAAGATACAATAACTTTATCAAAAATTGCCGTATCGGTATGTCTAAAAAAGCATTTTACAGGTAGAAACCTCTACTTTTCGGATCGGTACTTAAAAAAACGATCTCATGGAGATTTCATGAAGTTACACAAACATAAATGAAGATACCATATCAGACCTCAAAATTTTTTATGGAATTTGCGAAGCTCCACGGAATGGAATAAAAATTGTATACAAATGCGATTTACATCGAAAGAGCGAATCTTTACCTTTAATTTACTTTTTTATGAAGCTTTTATGATTTTTTTTGATCGAGTAATAACTCGATTCAACGTTGAAGCAAAAATGGTCCTTTTGCTTCAACGTTGAATAACTCGATGTATCTTGAGATTTGCTTATTTTTGCAGAGTGAACAGGTGTTGCGTTGATTTTGTTGCCCAGTGTATTTCAAAATTCATAAATATGAAGAATTTTATAAAAATTGTCGACTTTCTTAGCATTTTTTAAAAGCATTCCAATTTGTATAAAAAATGTGAGAAATTTTTTAAAGAGTTATAAAATTATTTAGAAATTCTAAAAATTCTGAAATTTATATAAGATTCTGAAAAATTATATTTATGAAAAATTCTGAGAAAGATTTTCACCAGGAACGTTATACTAGTACATAAATAAATGTCAAAATATACCGAATTTGTTAAATCCACAAATGGATCTCTGTTATTAAAAGATGATGTTGAATTTGATGATGGTGTTCTTGATCTTGTAAGTAATATTCGTGAAGATGATCTTCATACTAGGGATGTTTGATTCAAGATCGATTTTTTAGAAAATCGATTCTTTTATCTTCGATTTTCGATTTTTTAGATCGATTCTTAAGCTCTGATTAAATCGACGAATCGATTCTTAAGATCCGAGATCGATCTTCCGTGACACCTAATTCAAAGGTCTACTCTTTATTCCTACATTATTTGAATTTATGCATATGGTACAGAAATAAAGAACCGACTTTATGGTTTACGTATAGACATAAGGCCACACATCTTCCGTAAAGCTCATAGTACATACAAAAACGTAAGGCCATAATACATAATCAGCAAACGAATTGGCCAATTACGGTAGAAATCGTAAGACCGGTAGCGAATCTAATCTAATGCGTGATCTACAATGGCAGTAGAGACTGTAAACATATCGGGAGTAAGCTGGTTTTCCAGCTAAACCATTAATGGTTAATCGATCAACGTCAAATTGATGTTGATTCAACATCACTCGATGTCAAATTGATGTTAATACAACGTCGATCGACTGCTGGACCAATAAGCATACAGTGTAATGGCTCCATATTAATTTACATAAGATGTTCATTGGTTCAGCGGTCTTATGTTATGCTTATGCCTGTTATGCATTTTATATGTGACAGACTTAAGAGTGCGTTCACATCTTGACAGAAAAGCAGAATTCAATAGGTGCATCCAGAAGCACGACCACTCACTGAACTCTTGTACCTGTTTAGTCTATATTTTTTATG